CACTGGCCCGAGGAGAGGCTGGCCTGGGCGGTGTGGGCGGGCCTGGCGGTCAGTCCGGGCAGTGGCCCCGCCCGCTCAGCTATGTGCTGCTTCCTCTGGAGTCTTCCCCTTTTCCTTTCCCCGCCCTTTCATCTCATAAACTCCCAGCCAGCGAAACCCTTTGCTCTTCATTTCAGTCCCGGGCCAGCGCCACCCTATAGGACACCCAGACCGGCCTGGGGGGGTCCCCCGCCCCAGGACCTGCCCCTCAGGACCCGGCTCCCCCAAAGTGGGACCTGGTTCCCTGGTCCGATGCTCACAGCGGAGAACCAACCCTCCAGCATCCACCAGAATCCCCGGTCAGCCCTGTGCCTGGCCCCCTGCCCCTGGGTGGGGGCATCACCCCCTGAGGCCACCCCTGCCCGAGTGCTGGGGACCTTCCACCTGCCCCTGCCCTGCTCTTCCTGGCCCAGGTGGACTCCAACACCCTGCCCAGAGCCACCTGCAGGCTCTCACCTGCACTGAGCCCAGCACCGGCTGGGACCCCCTCACCAGCAGGCTGCTGGCCATCTAAACACACGCTGGCCCTTTCCTCCCTTCTCTGCTCATATTCTGTCCTCTCTCTGAAAGGTCAGCCCCCGCAAACCAGCTGGTGAAGAACTCCTATACATTCGTCAAAACCCATTTCAAATGGCCCTCATTGCTATAGGACTTGGGACACTGCCCCTCAGTCAGCATGTGCTCCATTCCTGTGGCCTGGACAAGTCCCTGGAGCAGAGGAGGGGCTCTGCCGTGTGTGTGGCCTTCGGGATGGAAGCCTTCCTCGGTTTACCCCCAAGCCCAGCACGGAGCAGGCACCCACCCTCGCCTCGCCTGCCTCCTGGTCAGGCACAGCCCCACCCACCACCAGCTCCCAGTGCTGACACCATGCCCAGGCAGGTGCCCCCGTGCAGCCCCGGCCAGGGGCAGGGCAGGGCCAGGAAGATCCCAGGACCCTCCGAGGTCGCAGCCACTTCCTCTGCTTGTTTGTTTCCTGTGTCTCGGGGCAGAGGCTGTCGGAAATGCAGGCTCAGCGAGGGCGGCCCAGCTTTCCCACGCCCCTCGCTCCTGATGGGAGGAAGGCGAGCCAGGCACCAGGCCCAGGAAGGGCTGGGACGGACAGACAGACAGACAGACGGACGGCGCTCCTCGTGGGCAGCAGCCACGGGGGGAGGGGGGTGTGTCTGCAAGGGGCAGCTTTGCTGGTGCAAGTCACACGCGGAAA